AGAATGCTCGCCTGCCACGCGGGCGGCCCGGGTTCGATTCCCGGCCGATGCAAATGATATTTTTTATTTCTTTTACACTTTTCTTCTTTTTTTTATGCTAATACAAAGACTGCAGACGATTGCTAGTTGATATAAAAGAAACGAATAAAACGGGTTGCCATTCGCAGAAAATTGCTCAAAATATTATTGCTGCAGATATCGAATACTGAAATAGAGAGAAGAACAAATAGTCGAAGAGGAAATAAGAAAAGGTAAAAGGAAAAGCCATCCAGACCGACTGAGAAGAAAAATGTCACAACAATAATAAATGATAATTGATAATAACGTTTTGCTACCTTCCTTCCGACCGCAGTCAGTCGAATAAATAAACAAACAAAAAAAAAAACAAAAAAAAAAAAAAAAAAAAAAAAAAACAAAAAAAAAAAAACAAAAAAAGTGGTAGGTGCGTCTGAATTGTAAGAGGAAATCAATAAAAATGATGGCGACAACATTTGGCCACAATTTCACAATTTTTGTGGCAGCCAAACAGAGCGAACAAAACGCGCAGCATTTCAACAATTTCCGTTCGGCGTTGACGGCGCAGTGCAAAATTTTCTCATTTTCGCAGAAGCCGTCGCAAATGTTTCTCTATACAGTCCTCTTAGACACCTCAGACAACGCCCTTTACCGCATTTCTATGCGACTGCACAAAGTTGGACGAAATGTCATCATTTCCGTTGAGGGAAAACTGTGTGCGCGCTCAACCGTCAGCCGTGGGTTGGGGAGGGGGGTGGCGTGGATTACAGCAAGGACGAGGCTGTCGGCGGCGAGGACGACGATGAATGGCTACAGTGAGTAGCATGTCGGCGGGTTATCAGTAAAACTGTAAGCGCACCACACCGGCCCAGAAAGGGTTAACTAGGAGAAACCATGCAAATCCCCTTTTATTTACCCAAAAACTTTTGATGCAAAAAGCCTGAGAAATATATATAAAGTTATATACATATACATATATATGTATATATATATTTGGCTGAATCAAAAACGCAGCGCGTCCGTTCGTGCCTCGGGGCACTCTCAATGCTGTCGCGCACGTTGCCTAAACGAAGCGTGAAATTGTTAAATGAGTGCGAATGTCTGCCGAGTAACCGGATGCCCGATGGGGACCAAAGGGCGCCGCCGGAGCCGAACGTAGCCGGACGGAACCTGGACTTCTTTTGCATTTGTGTGAAATTATTGATTAAGAAAGTTTTTCGATATGCACGCCTGGTCAGCGTATATACATATAAACTCAAAGATATACATATATACATGGTATATATGCCTAAATAAATTCAATCCAATTGAATCGAAATTGGGTTTATGCGCCCTGAACTGAATGCCAATGGAGTCACGCATAGGCTGGTCTAGAAATTCGTAATTAAATGATGGCCAAAACAACATTTATGTTGTCAAATAAACTGACTTTCGAATAGCTAAATAAATTTGTTGCATTTTTGCATAATTGGATTAAAGTGTTACATTCAAATTAAGCATACGCCACGTTGCACACCATTTAATGTGAAAAACATTTCAATGTTTCATTATTAAGTCGTAGCCCAGTTGATAAATATTAAAATTTTAAAGCAATCTATGTACGTGTGTGGGTGTGTGTGTGTGTATCTTTGCAATCTTTTGAAACAAAACTGTCAAAACTGAACTAACAAGCAATTTATAACTTTTGTGAACGCCAACTCACACTCGAAACGAGCAGCACAAAAGAATCAAAGTCTTTTTATAGTTTCAACTGATGCTGGTCAAACTAGGCCTAATATATGCAGCACTGGCCTGGAACTGGAAGCTGCTTAACAACTTGGACTTTTACCCATTCGAATAGACGAATGCAAATGTTGTGTGCCGCAAGTTAAAGGACGAACTCACATAACTTGGCCACAATCTGATTGGGTCTGCAAACAGCATTTTGTGACCCTAATCAATGTGACCATTGTTTACCTACACTCCCCCAACATCTGTTGCCCTCCGGCCTTCGGTCCTCAAAACTAGCCAAGCAATATGCTTCACATTTCGTTTGAAGACAGTTTGTGGACCCATTCATTTGATATATGCTTAGATTAAACTCATATTGAACAGCTCTAACTGTTGCGATAACACATTGCACAATCAACAAATTGCCCAGCTCTGACTTTAAAATGGGATTACTAGAGAACAAAAAACCAAAGCAAACTACTGATTATTATCTGTAATCAAGAGAAAGGAAAATACAATAAACTCATTAAGTCTTTGGCTTTTCTTCATCAAGATCTCCATCTGTTCTTAGAACATGTGTCTTGAATATACCGACATCAAAAATATATATATATGAGGATTCCCCAATTCTCAAACTTTGGTAAAAGTTATTCGGTATTTGTGAAATTATTTTTAAACTTGTAAATTTACATATCATATTATGCTTACTTTACTATAGTAATAGCTATCATCACAAATGAACAATGAATATTCTATACTGAATATAAGACTTGCATAATAAACCTAAGGCAAAAACAATTCATATTTAATTATTTAATTTCGCTGATGGAACAATATATTATATTATATTATATTATATTATATTATATTATATTATATTATATTATATTATA